ATATTGGTTCGTTTGCCCCAAGTTCATGCTTTTAGAACTCAATGATATTCTGCAGCATAAAATCATTCCATATTATCTGGTAGATTGACACTGAATCTCTATAAACTGGAGAACAAACATTTTGGTGAAATTCATGAAAATTTCAGCTAAAGTCAAGGTTATAATATATGATTTCCCATTAGACATCTTGTATTACACGTCTTTGGCAACTCTTGGGCCCTTTAAAAGGCAATGGGGACTTGCATGTCACATTTTCCCATGTACATTTCCCACTACGAATTAATTATCTATTCTGGAACTTGTGCTTCTTGATGGTCACACAGCTTGACAAAGTGGACAATTCACCATCCCTATTTATCTTTTAAGGAAGGAATGTATGGTTTAGTTAGGATTAGATTCAAATAGTACCAATATAGATGTTTAGTTTGCTGGAGGCTATTCATCTGAATTATTGAAAAGTCTGACTTATAAAATAGAAGTGCAGTTTTGATCCTCTGAGGTTTATTCAGTAGTGCTGTGATTTCTAAGTTACTGACTAGAGAAGATTGTTTCACACTTAAGGAATAGATTTGATTACACAAATGTTTCCGAGTGAATTTTCCCCCAAGGTCTATGAACAATCTCCCTTCAAATCCTCTGTACACTTTAAATACATAAATATTAGAATCTTCAAGTTACGACACACCTTAAAGACCACCCAACCAAAATTCAGACCCACACTAGGAGCCCTGCTGCTATTTCATTTATAGACAACTCACTGTCTAGTCACCTGCAGATGCCTGGCTCACTGACTTATCAGACACTAGATTTTTCCTTGGCCAACTCTAGATCTTCAAAAATTTTCCCTGACGTTAATGTGGAATATTCCTGACTGTATTGGATCTGTTGATTCTCTATTTACCTTGGAAGACTCTGAGAACAAGATCATTCTCTTGACCGTAAGACAGACTCTCAGGATGTTTCAAGAGTATTAAATGAACCAAACTCCTGCCTACCCCAAAAGTTGCTGTGGACAAAGTAGTCCTCATTTTGTAAAAAAATATTTTTAAAATAATCTCCCCCGGCTACGCACCTGCTTGGCATACATGTCACAGATTGATTTTATTGTTGCATAAGAAACCTGGTCAATGTAAGCACAGACAGATTATCTTATCTACAGACTAGGGTGCCTGTACTGTTTCTTAGCCCCCATCTTTTCCTCCTGGTGCTCTCAAGCCTCACATACTAGGGCCAACCTCACCTAGAGAAGGGATCTTAAATATCTCCCAAACCTGTATCCCACTGGCCTGTTCTTTGGTCTCTTTCCAGTCTTGGATCTTCCACAGCTGTCATTGAAGTACTAGGTCATCTTTTTCCCCTCAGTCTTATCTGTAATAATGCAGACAGATGAATGCAGTCAAAATTAAAGTGAGACTTCACTTTTACTCAGTGAATATAGCTTTCTCTAAAGACTATAGCAGCAAAAGCCAATATCCAAAAGAGTTGAATAGTCAAATGTGGATCATTTGATAAATTTTGTTACCATGGGGTGCAGTTATAAAATAGACTTTAATATTCATAGACTATGGAGTTAGACAGTCTAGAAATACATTTTAATTTTTCATACCATACATTATCTTGGCTGTATTCACTAGCATTGTTTTTACAGCAGTTTACTAAAATGTGAGACGAAAGGATGTGTGGGAAATAATCTTAATACAGTTTCAGTGAATGAAGACGGTGTAAATTAATCATTAGTTCTTCATTTCCTAGGCAAAAATAAATATTACATGAACTAACTTCACTCATAACCACTTTAATGTACATTTGGAAAATAAATTAGTCATATTAAAATAAATGTGGCAGAAGTTGAAATTTAATTCATCATTTAATAGATTTCTATGAAGAACTCAAAGTGAAATTTTGTGATTTTTTTTTCCAAGTTGAAATTTGCACAGTGGCACATGGACAGTAATGCAGCTCTAGGCTAATTATTCTCATACTGATATGTGTTTTGCTTGTGAAAACAATGTTTCCATCCCCTACTCACTTGTGCCCCCAAGACCAATCTCATCTGGGTACAAGATGGGCCCACAGGGAGTACAGTGCTGACTTCGATGTGTAGCTTACATTCATTAGCAACCTTGGTGCAGACAGAGTCTCCAGTACCCCCCTAAGCAGCAAGCAGCTAATAAAGCCACAGGAAGGTGTTGGAAAGAGCCACAGTGGTTCCATTTAAACAATCGTCATTCCATTCCACAGCTATCTCTCCATTTTCCAACTGTGCAACTGCCCTGAGAAAGCAATTTCTCATTAAGCACCTAAGTCCTCACTCCCACTGCGAGGTCTCATGGTGCACATCCTAAATTAAAATCCGCCTTCCTGCTCATCCCCAGGTATCTGTGTCTGCATAGGAAAAGCTGATATGTTTCTTTCTTGAGCTTCCTATTCTCATTTCCCCTAAGTGGTCATTGTCAATGTTGACTGGTCATTGTATCCTATTTAGGAGCACAACAACAGTTGTTTCTGTCAGAATTCTTAGAAGGAATCATTTCAATATGTTTACTTAGATATAATATTATAGTCATTTTTCAGATATGGTTTCTATTGTGTCCATAACCTCTTAATCACAATTTTGAAACTCAAAAGTTTTAAGAGTTGTCATTTTTTCCCCTGGGCTGAGAAAAACTACATGAAAAACCTGACTTAAAGTAGCATAAAGATATTTATATTATTCCTTTATTCCTTTTACTATGAACATTAATCTAGAAAAAATTTTAAAAGAGTTCTACAGATTCTACTGGGAGTTTTATATATAGCAAATTCATCTTAATACTTTTTAAAAAGTAAAACACTTTAGTTGCAAAATGTATCTGTCCTCAGAAGGGATTTGGATAACGTATACTGGCATATAAAGATAAACACACACACACACACACACATTTTCTGCTAGACCCATAAACCTTTTGTTTTGATTTAGCAGAGAATAAGTTGCTTTGTATGAATACAGCATCTTGCTTTATGAATAATACTTCAGACCAGTAGGTTTTGATAGAACAATTCCTGAGATTGTTTTGTTTCTTATAGGAATTGCTCAAAACCAATTCAGAAAAAGAGAATCCTGTCCAAAAAGTCCCAATGTCAATCTGGAGTCTATTTTATTTTGGTAATACCAAGATGACCAGCTTCTTAGGAAGGACTGGAAATTAATACATAAATGTGAAAGCCCATTAAAAAGCAGCCTTTTCAGGTGAAAGTCAAAAATGTGGATACAAATGAAATCTAATCCCTCAATCTGCTACCAAGTATTTTATGTATTGCAGATGCACTTTTTGGTATATTCAAAACTTCACCTGAGGGATTTGAGACTAATTTAATGTAATCTCTGGATAAATTTCACTTGGATATGCTCTCTCAATCTTTATTTAGTAACCAAAGGGCAAAAAACAATTGATTAGATTTAAGAGGGATTTTTGCATAAATATGAAGTCATTAGTTACATTAAAGGGAGATCTGCAGAGGAGTGCTGGGAAATAGGAACAGTGAATTAAGGATCTACTCCCTTCCCGCATGGTGGAGGCAGCACACTCGGGCTCCTAGGGGATACAGTTCCCCATTTCTTGTGCCTTCTAAATCTCTTGGCCTATTTAGCAGAGCAGTGTACTTGCAGATAGCATTTACTTAGCAGATAGCATTTTAAAAGGAGCTTTATTTCACTCCATGAAAGAAAATGCCTACCTGGGAGACTAAAGAGCCAGTTTTTCAGGATGGAAGGTACAATGAATTCAAAGGCTCTCAACGCTGGGGCAATGGAGTGACTGATGAGGAACTCATGATGGCTTCTTCCCACCCCCAAGCAATATGACTGTGGCTCCAGTTCAATAGGCACGAACTTTAATTTAGGAAGAAACTTCTGACAATGTGTAGTGGAGATATGAGCTCATTTGGCTTTAAGCAAGAAACAGGACTCCTGATGGACACTTTCTCTCAGATTTGAAGGTGAATCATAGGACCAAATGATCTCCCCAAGTTAGGAGTGCAAGTTCTAAGAGAAAACAGCAAAATTCAGTTCAAAAAGACAATGAGATGAGGGAAAGAAAAGTTATGACACACCCTAACATGCTAAGAGGCGGCTGAGGTTGATTTGTTACAGGGCACAAAAAGCAAACGACTCATCAGGAGGAGTATTGATTCTCAATCAAGGCAGAGTAGTAAATGGTGTTACTTCACAAATACTTTTCGTAGTCAGCTTTACAAATTTAAAATCAAGCTTTGGAGATGATTTGTACCCTAGAATCATACCGCTTGGTAAAATTTTTACAAAATATTTGTGAAGATTATAACGGAGCAGACCGAGAAGGGCAATGTTTCATTCCCTTATTCATGCATCCCAGGAGACAGCAACTGAGGACCAACTTCAGTCAGCTTGGTACTGAGTGCTGGACCTCATCAGTGAATACACAAGGCATAGCCACTGCCTGTAGAGGGAGTCTGGAGGGCAATATAAGGATAGTCTTAACTTTCTAACAAGCTTGGAGATCAAGGCCAACCCCTCCTTCTCTGTGGGCCTCAATTTCCTCCAATTAAAATGAAGACTGAGCCCATCTTTCCTTGTGATACACTGTACTGTGTCTTTAAGATCAGACTCTTCTAACAAACCTATTGAATTTTAAACAAGACAGTTACAGAGAATGAAGAATTATCCTAACTGAAGAAGTGCTGGGGCCATTGAGTAGCTATGTTTCTACAGCCTCTAAATAGCATGCACCCTTGGCATGGCTTTCCTGAAAAGGAAGAGAGTGTTCTGAGAACCCAGAGAACTCAAGAATATACAGATCTAGTTCTAATCAAACTTTGTACCTTGAGCCAGTCACTGCGCCTTCTGAACCTCACTTTTCCCTGGAAGTCATACACTCTATTTTCCAATAAATCACAGATTACAGATCTTTTAAGAGGAACTAGACTCTTTCCATCTAATTTGAGATGGAATGAGGCAATAAGTTATGTCATTTTTCTTTCAGCCCCGCCTTGGCCACCCAGCCTCCAGTGGTAGCACAAGCCGGTGGAGGGTCTGGCAGCTCCAGTGAGTCAGAGAGCAGCTCTGAGTCAGACTCAGACAGCGAAAGCAGCACCACGGACAGCGAATCCAATGACCCACCTCGTGTGGCTACTCCGGAGGTAGGTGAAGGTGGCAGGATCCCGAGGACCATGTGACTGTTCCTCAAGCAGCATTCTCAACACAATACACACACACACACACACACACACACACACACACACACACACACACACACATTCAGCACAGAAATTAGTACAATAACTACTTCAGCAGAAAAGTATGCAGGTGTTTGATAGAATTGCTTTGCTCTAAAGTAGATATTTGTGCAGTCCCAGCATACAGTATTTCCTTACTGGGTGATTGATTTGCAGTGTGACTTGCTTAGCTACTCTGAGTAATAAACTTCCTCATACGTAAAATGAAGAGGTGTAATCACTGAACCAGAGACTTCTGTTTTGATAGAACCAATGGAACCCATCAAAAACCACTTCTGCCAACATAATGAATCTTTTCCTTAATAATGATAGGGAAGTCACATATTTTTAATTATGATAATTTAGGAACACATTTAAAACAGACTAAACTACCAAAATAACGATATTGAAATAAAAGAGTTGACTTTTCCCTTTGCATTTGCTGGACTAGAGCCAAGACAGCTGCCCACTTCTCCTGAATCAATACCTGATGGAACAATTGACTCCCAGCCACCCCACAGCTCTTCAGACACTTGTTGTTTAGTAATCAGGAAAGAATAATAGGAGGAGGCAGTAGTAATATTACTATAATTAACAATAGCAAACATTTACTGAACATGGGCTATGTACCAGGCACCATGCTAACTTGGTAGTTTGAATTTTTTATCCCATCCTCATAACAAGCCTACAGCATGCTTGCTATTTTGATAGCAATTTTAATGGGTAGCGGATGAGGTTCCACAAAGCTAGGTAAAATAATAAGTTCACACAGATCGGGAGTGGTAGAACCAGGACTGATGCTGATACTGATGCTGGTGCTGACAGTAGTAGTCCATGTGGTTTTCTCAGCTCTCACCTGTCATTGTCCTGTGCAGGGTCACATTGCAGCTACTCAAGTGTTTTGATTTCTGTCGTCTATTGGCTAGTGCCATAAATCTCAATTAATTACTTCAAAAAGCAGGGCCACTCTCATACATACCGTGGTCCTCTTAGTTTTGTTGGCAGAATTCTGAGTTTGGGATAGAGGACCTGGATTATAAACATAATTTCCATGACTTTGCATTTGGCATTAATGTCTGCATCCATGTCCCCATAAACTGGTTATTGTCCATATACCAGGGTAAGCGTGGCGGATTTTGTGGCAGTCAAATCTTTTCACCCTTCTGTAATAATACAATACTTATTTTAATTGCCATGAGTTGCAGCATCATATAGGAGGTAGTAACAAGTCCTGATGAATGGAAAGTTTTTCCTTTTGAATTATACTTGAAGTGTGTTGAGATTTCTTTCAGAATCAGAGACCATGGAGAGAGTGAATGATGATTCCTAGCAAAAGATTTTATGAACAGGTTTCCCTCCTGCATACCTTCTGAAATATCTCCCTGTGAAGAACTGCTTCTTTTCTGATCAGAGCAGAGAATGCTTTCAAAGATTTTTGAATTTTAGCTTAAATATGTAGACTACAGCTTGTTTATGATACTACAGTATCTGGCTATCTTAAGCCATCTGGTTATTATGGGTATAGCATTTACACACCCGTATGCATAAATATGTGTATGAGGGTGTGTGTAAGTGGTACTAAACATCCAAAGGTTTTAGTGGCAGTCATGTGTTGAGGATTGTGCTGAATTCTACCCAAATGTGAAGTGCATTCTTGCTGGTCTTTTTCAATCTGCAGCCTGAACCACCTTCAACCAACAAGTGGCAGCTGGATAAATGGCTCAATAAAGTGACATCACAAAACAAGTCATTTATTTGTGGCCAAAATGAGACACCCATGGAGACCATTTCCTTGACGCCTCCTGTCATCCAGCCAATGGAAGTTCAGCTCAAAGTGAAGCCAAACTCCAATCAGATTCTGGCTGAACCTAAGGAACGCCCTCTCCTCAGCCTCATCAGGGAGAAAGCCCGGCCACGGCCGACCCAGAGAACTCCAGAAGCAAAGGCTTTGAAGCATAAGCTATCGGCACCTATAGAGGCAGCTTCTCAAAGGACTATGGGGAAAAAGCAGCCCAGGAAAGTGGAGAAGAACACCAGCATTGAGGAGTTTAACTGGCCCAAACCGAACATTTCCAGCAGCACTCCCAAAGACAAAGAAAGTATAGAGCTTCCGGATCCACCCAGAGGCCGGAACAAAGCTGCAACCCACAAACCAGTGCCTAGGAAAGAAGCAAGGCCTAATATCCCTTTAGCTGCTGAGAAGAAGAAGTACAGAGGGCCTGGCAAGATTGTGCCAAAGTCTCGGGAATTCATTGAAACAGATTCATCTACTTCTGACTCCAACACCGATCAGGAAGAGACCCTGCAGATCAAAGTGCTGCCTCCTTGTGTTGTACCTGGAGCTAACACTGCCAAACCCAAGGAAGCCTGTGGTGCCAGTCTAACCCTGAGCACCTTAACCAGCTGCAGCAGCAGCAGCAGCAACTTATCCATCAATAATGAAGAGCCAACATTTTCACCGGTTCCTGTCACACAAACTGAGCTGCTGTCCCCGCTACGAGATCAGGAGAATCTGAAAAACCTCTGGGTGAAGATTGATTTGGACTTGCTCTCTAGGGTACCTGGCCACAACTCACTCCAAATAGCAGTGGCCAAGGCAGAACACAAGGAGATTGCCTCAAAATCCAAGCGTCATACTTCTACCATAGCTGTGGAAAAACTGGGCCCTAAGGGCAAGCGTAAGCATAAGGTAAGATGGCCAGTGGGGCTGCCCTGTGATCTTTAGCAGTGGCTGTTATCCAACTTGATCTTCAGGCTTGTCCTCAAAGAAGTTCATTGTAAACGGTAGGCAATAATCCTTTTGACACATGTATTCTACATGTAAACAGGAAGAAAGTGCTACGAAGGATCAGGGTTTGGCATCTAATGACAAGAATATCCATTGTGGTGCTTGTGGGATTCTAATGCGTAAGAAATAAGAATGAGAAAAGAGTCCCTGTTCCTATACAGCCAGTCCCTGTTGTCAGCTCCTTAACACACTCGTGTTTTTAGGAGACCATATCATTGCTCTTTACTGGGCTGCCCCTGGCTTAGCAGGGTGCTCACACGCCCTCAGTGCTCAAAATATTTCTCAGCACCTTGTTCATTTCTCTGGATAAATGTTGTTTTTTTTTTATTTATTGTTGCTTACATTATATTATGTAGTACAGTTTTATAGGCGCTGGGGATTCCCCCCACCCCTCCCATACCCCTCCCCCCATGGTGGATTCCTCCACCTTGTTGCATAACCATAGTTCAAGTTCAGTTGAGATTCATTGCTTGCAAACACATGCCTAGCATAAAGTTCAGCGTCTTATTGTCCAGATAAGTTCAGTGGCCTCTTGGGGAGACCTTCTATGGTCTGAAGATAGGTCTAACAGAGTAAAGATCCGGTCAGTTAAAAGCCCCAACAAGGCCTCAGTATCAATATACAACATTATGGAATTAATTGACATAGTATTGGGTAAACAATATGTTAAAAATAATGCAAATGTTGCTCGTACTATCCTTGCTTCCACCAAATCCATGTCGTAGCCAACATATTGAGAATACTTGTTTAGATGATTGGCTTGGCTTATGAAAAGCTCATTTATAGCAGGTGCAGGCTGAATTCTAGAACTACAAATTATTTTTCACAAGCGTGAATCCAGAATGGCCCTTCCTATTTTTGAAAAGATTTATTTATGCATTTGAAACAGAGAGTGACAGAGCAGTAGAAACAGAAACATCTATGCAGGACTGTCTGCCATCGTCTGTACCAGCAATGCCGGGGCACACTTAAATAACAGACTGATGGACTCCTGACTGCTTATGAAGGACTATACTATTATAATAACGTGGGAAAATCATTCAGGGGGTGTGAATTATGGAGTGGGGTGAAGCCCAGACCCTATGGAATGGTACCATAAAGTTCAAAATAAAAAGAGAGAGAGAGATCCCATTTGCAGGTTCATTTCCTAAATGGCTGTAATGTTCAAGGCTGGGTTAGGCTGAATCCAGGAGCCTAGAACTCCATCTGCATCCTCCACACATGGGGCGGAAGCCCCAGGACATGCATCATCTTCCACAGCTTTCCCAGGTCCATAAGCAGGGAGCTGGACCAGAAGTGGGATAGCTGGAACTCAAAGCAGCTGTAATATGGATGCCAGCATTCCAGATGATGGCTTTACTTGCTGCACCAAATGAAGGCCTTAGCCCTTTCCATTTGAAATATATCTAGAGAGGTGGATCTGTGGCCAATAATCTCACTGTGATGAATCACTGGATCTCAAAATATTTTTAGAGTAACATTGTCTTGTGGGTAATATTCAGATCATCACATTTCTAATGAAGAGACTTCTAGTTGTTTCCCTATTTCTTCTGTTCCTTTCCAGAAACAATTTGTCCAGAAATGGCTCAGATTCCTCAATAAGGAGCAGTCCTATCCTTGACTAGGCTATGTTACAAAATAGTACATTAAAAATTACTTGCATCCTCATTCAGCCTTTCCTCGGTGGTTAGGAAGAGTTATTATCTCTCAGCTGCAATCCCAATAAGGGCCAAGCTATGGGGTCCTTCCCTTACCATGGATTTTTCATGAGAACTCTTAGTGAGCACAGTAGTACAGCCCGAGGTGGAAAAGGTGCCTTCAGCAGCAGCACATGCCAAGTTTCAAATATACACGATGGTTCATCTCTTTGCAAGTTGTTGATTGCATAAGCAATCTCTATATAGCAACCGCAATCCTCAGGCTGCTTGCACAGGGTTTAAACAAAATTAGCATTAAAATGTTAGCTGCTAAACTACTCATTGTTAGGGGTGTTGTTGATGGGATAAACGCCTAGAAATCATAAATTTATTTTGCTTTTGTTATGAGATTCTTGTGCCACTCGGTCTTTAATCAGAGGCTCACATCACAGTTCAGTGTTCTCAAATGACAGAATCTTGATAGCACTCAGCTAGGCAGGGCAGCTTGCTTTTCTCTCTGATCAAAGGTGCACATTTAACACCTATTCTAGAAGCTGGAAGATAAGCAAACTGTCCTGCTTGTTTTAAATATGTGAAATATGCTGGAAAGCATCATGTATTTTAAGCTCTGTGCATTTTATCCTGCTAAAGCCAACAGAAGTTTCAGAGAAAGTCCCTGAGAAGAAGCAACGCATGGAGGAGGCCACGACTATCTGCTTGCTCCCCCCTTGCATCTCACCAGCCCCGTCCCATAAGCCTCCCAACATCAGAGAGTGAGTGTGCGCGGTCTCTGTATGATGTCTTTGTGTAAATGTTCGGACTGTTAAGAAGTTCCAATTAAACCTTGTTTGTTGTTGTTTGTTTTTGTCTGGTGGGAGGAGAGTCCTGTCTGAGAGGACTGCCAGATAAGAAAGCAGGTTAATAAAGTCTGACAGCTTTCCAAGGTCACTGACCTCACAAGTGTAGGATAAAGGCTGCCAGTTTAGGGGTGATTGGGAGACGGCTCCCTCAGATTGATCACCAAAACTAGGGGAAAAAAAATCATTTTATACCTATGTTTCTAGGGAAAGCAAACAAATTAAAGAGAAAAAACATCAAGGTACACGGATCACTTTACCTAGACCATCTGCTTCTGGCCAGCCTTCGGTGCTGGTGATGACTGAACAATCTCCCTGCAAAATCATCCCTTTGATGGTATGATGATAATGCAGCTGCTTCTTCTTAGATAGCATTGCTTCACATGAATAGGAAGTTTGTGGACCAATAGCCACATTCTGAACTCCACCGGGGCCAAGGGAAGGACACATTTGAGAGACCAGAGAAAACTGGGAATTTCTCTCCTCAGATGGTTCCATGTCAGGAAAAGCTGTGTAGTGCTCAAGGTTCATTCCAACCAGATCCCATCTGTTACTGTGTAAGGTTCGAGTCAGACGCAAGGCCTCCTTGTTCTTCCTCACTCACACAGCATCAGCCCTCTCTGGAGGAGTTCTGCCCTCTGTTTCCACAAAGCACTGTGATTTAGTTCCTTTCTGGCTTATAAATATCACTTAACTAACAATCATGTCAGCTACTTGAACCATTCCGTTTCGGTAATTATTGCTATAAATTTATTCAACATTAGAGATTGCTTGCATCAAAGCCCAGTTCAGGAGCCTATTAGGAACCCAGAGCAGAGAGGCAATCTGGCTAACTGCTGCTAACAATTGATTTCACAGATTACTGTTTAACATCAGTGATATGGCATCAATCTGCCACACATCAGATGTTGGAAATAAGTGATCAGCTTGCATTGGTCTGAATCCTTCTTGTTTTGAGTTCAAAGCTAGAAAGAAATCAATCCCAACTAAACATACATATATCTAATAAGGATGTGCAGGGTCCTGGACTGCTCCTTTCAATGATGTTCAGTAACTGTATTCGCTGATAAAACTGTTCTGAAACCTCCCTTCACATGCTTAGAGCTTTCAGACGTGTCAGTGCAGCAAGCTGATCCAGTCCTTGGGTCCGGGGAGACCAAGGTAAAGGGGGTTTGTTTACATTCCTTCCAGGCATGTGAGGAAGCACACTGCCCAAATGGTCAAGCAGCCATTTCAGGACCTTGGACAAGAGGGAGCCATGGTGGCAGCACTCCCTCAGTTTTCAGGCTTTTACCAGCTCATAGTACCTAAAGGCGAAAGGAAGAGGCAGGGAGCAATGAGGCATTGCCATGACCATCAGTCTCCACTACTAGTACCCTAAAGGATATAGTAACTTGTCACTTTCTTGTAGAAGACAGATGACAAAGCATTAAGTACATGTCTAGTAATTGGAATTTGTTCTCCTAAAATGGTGTTTTTAAACCACAGTGCTTACCATCCGTCTGCCTTTCTAGTGGATAGGAAACCACTGTGACCACTGTAGCATTTATCTTTCCCAGAAGGGCCAGAAGCAAACTCTGACGTTCATTAAGTAAATTAAAATCTCTCGGTCTTCTAAGTCCTGGCCACAAGGGAGACTTCTCTTAAGAGCCCTGGCTTAGTCTACTTCTACCTTATTGACTTTTCAAACCAAATCCTTAGAGATGTTGATGAGACAACACTCACTTTTCTAAACGAATATCCTAAACCTAGCAAAGATGCCACATCAAACTCTGACAGCTAGTTTCCCTTGATCCAGCCCAAAGAGCCTCCTGAGCACCTTAGCACTAGAGTCATCAGCATGGCCACTGACGCGTGGAGTGAGGGTGCTGATCTGCTTCTCTTCTTCGCTGTCTTCCTCTGGCCTATTGAAAGTCAAATCAAAAAGCAGTTGTGAGTTGGAAGTCATAACTGCAGAGCATTCTCTAGAAAATATTCCTTGGGTGTCTTTTGCCAAGGAATTTGTTAAACACCCCAAGGCTCCAGATGAAGAGGGGAGCCAGTTCGCTGGACTCAAGGCACAGACAGCACTTACTCTGCACTAGTCAGGTTAGTGGCATAAGGGAAGGATTTGAATGACTATAATAAACAACAACAAAATATCTCTACGAAGCAGCTCTTTCCCTTGCATACCTACTACATTCTCAGCCAGCTCAAGTAGTCAGGAGTGCTTACAACTAACTAATAAAACATTTGTCTCCAATAGATGCTGCAACAATACTTGATATCTATATATATACATTTCCAAAGATCCGATGCCTTTGTAATTATCATACTTAATGTGGTCTGATGTTGATGGAGCTTCCGCATGGACAAGAATTTTCATGTGTTCACTATCATTTTATTCAGACATCACAAATCTGTTAAAATGGTTCTACACATCAAAACAATTTTTAAAATCCATTGATATTCTAAATTAATTTTAACCTATTAATTGCTACATATCTTTTAAATTTCACTGCATGACAGAAATAACATAGAGCTACATTTATGAAACAAAAGCTGGAGAAAATAACACATATTGTTACATTTAGTAAGTCTGTGCAACATACCAGAAGTGCAGCAAGGACACTGCATTGACTCCCAGTATTTCAGTAAACCAAACCACTTGAAAGCTTGTTCATCTTTGATTTGTTGCTCTGAGATATTATAAATCTATATTTCTAGACGCTGACTGAAGTTGACCAAGAAGAGAATATAAATTCTTGTTGACTTAATTTGCCATTGAAAATTGTAGTCAATAATCATGAAAAGTAAATGGCTGCACAGTGCAATATCAGTTGTCTAAGAAAAGATTAAATTTCAAGTAATATTCATTGATTAGTCTAAGACGGTAACCAAAATGAAAATCCATGACCCAATTACCATGGTAAGCAGCTAGCATAAGATTTCAGTTATTGTGCTTTATTTAAAGTCTCAGTTTACTAGAGGGTACCTATTTAATGGACAGATAAATCAGTTTAAAATCACAGAAATACTTTGAAATTGCTGATGCCTCATGTCACCGTAATGAAGAATTTTAAGTGCAGTTTTTGTAAAGTAGAGCATATCAGCACTTCAATAAACAGTTTAAGGTGGAGGGCCCATTGCGGTTTAGTATTGGGTAGAACAGTTTTACATATAATTTCCAAATTTTCACCATTTAGTGTCTTATTTATTTGTAAATGATGTATAAGCAAAGTATTTCTTAAGAAAAATATTCTTCCACTGATTGCTTATTTTACCATTTATTCCATTATTGGGCAATTAAATCCTAGGACAAAATAGGTAGGAACTATTTTGAAAATGATAGGAATAAAGTCTGTATTTTATTTTCCGTAAAAAGCTAATTAGCAGTAATCTTGAAAGGTTACAAATATCGCCCTCTAGCACATTCCATTGGACATTTACATTTATCACAGAGTTCTGCTTCAAAGATCTGTGTTTCTTTTGGGTACAAAGGAATGGATCTCTCTTATGAAGATACCTATGGAGGTACCTTTATCTATGTATGCATTGCTATGTATACTCTTCACCTTAAGTGAAGGATCACCAATTAAGATAACACTTCAGCTGAAAGTACCAATCTCATGAGAAAATCAGAATAAAGGGAGAAGAGAGCTCATGATAACTTACACTTTCTGTTTGCACAGACATAATTCATCCAGGAGAGCAAATAGAAGAAAGGAAGAAAAACTGTTCCCTCCTCCACTGTCCCCACTGCCAGAGGACCCTCCACGTCGCAGAAATGTCAGCGGTAATAATGGCCTTTTCAATCAAGACAAAAACATCTCCATGACTGGACAGATCATCTCTACTAAAACTAAGAGAAGTGAAAACAAATTCTGTGCTACCTTCAAAGGAATATCTGTAAATGTAAGCATCTTGCAAGCAATGTTATAACTGGCACACAGAAGCAAATTAACCCAACTCATTGGGTCTCATTTGTTTGGTTTGACCCAATGAGTATGCTGCAGGAAAAAAAGAGTAGAAGATGTAGAAAAAATATATGTAAAGGAAAGGATTGTGTATGTGTTTGTGTGTGTGCACATGTGTACAAATATAGAAAATGGGAAAAATCTCTGTTATTTCAACTCAGGGAATATATTTTTGGTTCCAAAATAGTTCTCCATTTTGCTTCCCCAAACATACTGCACACATCTATGTGTGAATGTCTATATTCAGAGCCTATGGGCAGCCTTTGGTTCAATCTCTTCATATCCTGGTGACTGAGAGAATACTACCATAAAAATAACCACATATCTGGCACATGAGAAACACCAATCAGTTAGTGAATAAAGAATCAAAGGATGGAATGGAAGTTCTCAGGGTCGCTGCACTGAAGCTGGAACTCCAAGTACAATCTTTCCAAGACTGAGCATTGCAAGTGTGAATTGTTCTTACACTGACTAAATAGGATGGAATTTAAAAGGTAAATCTGTTGTTGAAATCATGCCATAATGGTTCTAAGCCCAACTAAAGAATTACTCAGGCCTTTGGGCTTTCTGCACTGCTGGATAACTTTTTAGCATGAATAATTCAGAATGCATGTTACATTCATTTCCACACAGAGATTTTTTTTTCTTTGTCTCTAGTACAGGTACATAAACTGTGGAAAACACCAGCAACAGCATCTTGCTAATGCAAGTTCATAAGAAATGTATCTATCTTTCCATGTAAATACATGTGTTTGCAGATGCAAAATATATGTGTATATAGTCTGCTTTAGGTGCAATCTGAATACAAAGCAAATCAGTGAGAACAAGTCTTTGAATGTCTGCTGCAAATTTTGGGGCCTTAGAAGTGCATTTTTATACATTCTTAAAAGGCCATGAAACCACTGAGCTTTAAGGAACTAAATTTATAGTCTTCCACCACTTGAGATGGTATATACATATATATACATATACATATATGTATGCATCTCCTATTAAGTTTCGTCACTGATATTAAGAAATTACTCTAGTATGAAATGGAGTATGTGTGAAAAACCTATGTGTACAAGTATGTACATATATAGCACTGCCTTCCACACAGCCTTCTACTCTACACAGTAACTGCATTCCCTACTCTGTTTTTAATACTGAGTATAATTAATATTATAAACCCCAACTGCTGCTGTTTCCTGTTGCAAACTTTTAGAGCACACACAGAATATCCAGCAAGTTCTCTTTGGATAGTACCCAGTATATTACCATAAATAATTAGATGTTATTATTAATACACAAACATAATTATGATGATGGTTATAAGAACATGCAAAGTCATCTCCATACAATCTAAGAAATACTAGGGAAATGTGAAAAATAGAGTTGTATCTACTCTTAGAAATGCATCATGCTTTAGAAAATCACTAGGATTGCCTTGGATGGGAATGAGCCCGGTGTTTCTCTTGGGCTTTGCCTTCCATTGGTAGTTTGAAATCTGAGACATTTTGTGACATACTCTTCACCACAACATAGTTACTAAGAGACTTGACTCTTAATTGTTATGGTGCTATCACTGCAACAAAATTGCTCCGTTACCTTGGGCAAATCATGAAACATCTCTGAGTTCATAAAAGGAGTGAATTTGACTAGGTCTTCTGTAAGACTTATTCCAGCTCTGCAGTGTTTAAGTTTTGTTTTGTCAGTCTTCCCCATTCCATCTAAACATGTGGTATTAACTCAGTGGATGAATAATATGTACAGATGACGTTTCTACACAGCTGACATAACCATAGCTGAATTCAGCCATTTCAAATTAAATGTGCCACAGCCAACACCAGTATTGTGTGACTGTGGACATGATGTTTTATGGCTCTTGTCATGACCACAGATATATCATGGCCACAGAGGAAAGTGGCATTGCTGTAGTTGATCTCATTGCTTAATCTGGGCCACTCTGGATCTGGCAGTGGAAACATGGCGCTGTGTTAGAAGTCCTGCTTCCTTTATATACTTTGGTTGTATAAAATTCGCAATGATTTTTAACGTATCTATATCCAAAACATAACAGTGTATAGATATGTTGCCTTGAAGCACATTTACCCCAGTGAGCTCTAACTGGTAAAAATTATTTTAGAAATAGAAAGTTGATGATAAAGTAGACAGGGCTTTTAACTTTACATGCATGCAAATGTGCATATGTACATTCCATGCAAGTTGAATGCACTGGATTGTGATGTGGAAGGAGTGTGTCATAAGTCAGAATTGCTTACAGAGCCTACAAAGGTCTCAACATAGTGTGACTAGTGAGACTTTCGTTTCAAAGGATTAGAATATAAACTAGTGATTGTTGTTTTAGTCAAGGGATAGAGATGTGCCTGTGTCAAGAGAATTAGGTATTTCCAGCCATTGAGGTAAGACAATTTTCCCGTTGATGCCGATACAGGTTGAATTGAATCTGATACATGACATGAAATTGGATATGCAAAATGTGGTCTGTCCATACAATAGAATATTATTTAGCCTTAAAAAAGAAAGGCAATTCTGTCATGTGCAACAAAATGACTAACCCTCTAGGACAGTATGCGCAGTGAAATAAACTAGCTGCTAAAGGACAAAACTGTAGGATCCTAATTTCATGAGATTCTTAGAATAGTCACATTCAAAGAGACAGGAAGTAGAATGGTGAGTGTCACAGATTGCAGCAAGGACAAAATGAGAAATTATTATTTAATGGATACAAAGGTTCAGTTTTGAGGGATGAAAACAGTCCAAGATTAGTTGCGCAAAAAGTGAACTGTATATACTACACAGTGGTAAAGATGGGGAATTTTATGATATGCATAGTTTACCACAATTCAAAAATTTTTTAAATCAAGGCAAAATGGAAATTATTAGATCAGGACAAGTTTTAAGAAAGAAATGAAATTTCTTGAAATTCTTAAAATCTAACACTGCATAAATCAACTCAGAAAAGTGAAAAAAGAAACAGGAATATGTGAAGCCAAGGTGCATGGAAAAGAACAAAAAGAGATTGTGCAGAAAGATGAAGCCAGATCAGGAAAGACTTTAAACATCAGCACAGGAGCTAGACTTGAGTTTGCATTTGAATGCAAATGCACTGAACTGAAATGTTTAAGCTCTGTTTAGGAAACTTCAGACTGGTGGCAGCAGATTAAGGGTAGCTAGAGAAGCTAGCTGGGGGAGGTGGGGCGCTTGGCCTCGCTGGAGACTATGTATTATTGCCAATATCAAAGAAGAAGGGTTTGCGCTTTGAGGCTTTAAAGGATGAAGGGACAAATTTGAGATGTGCTGAAGGGATACAAAGAGTATGTGTTCATAGCTAATCCATTAAGATTAGTGATGATAAAGACTAGTGATGATAAAGATTAGTGATGATACATTTTTAAGTAAAAAATATAGCTGTCATTTTCTTTCAAAATGAAATCATTTTAGAAACTTCAATATATAAAACTAATAAGACAGCAGCTCAGAAGGGAGCCTAGCTAGATAGTTCCCAACCTGCCAGTTCTAAGGACCCAACCCCCAAGCGTTACCAAAATTTCCTCGGGAACTGTGCCACACTCAATGGGAAACTTCTTACTAACCTGGAGAAATCCAACTTGACTGACAGAATACTTCCCACCATTCACAGAAAGGTGTAACTGGATCACTTATCAATCTGATTTAAGAGAAATTTGAGTCTTCCGGAAGGGGTCCCTGCTGACACGGGGCTTTGCCTAGTAAGACAGAGGTGATCTTCTGAGAGCTGTTGATTTCAGGTTGAGCCTGTGTCAAAGCTCAGGAGACTGACAGATACGATTAAGAAAGAAGGGAGCTGAGCAGTGAACTTAGAACATCAGAAGGAGCAGGAGGGATCATGAGAAGTATGGTCAGGGTTAAAATAGTTGCAAGTGTTCATAGCTGCCAGGTGAAAGGGCATAGTCTTATGGAGGGTTTTTGGACATATTGTCACATTGTTACAAATCATAGCACCTACTTCCTTCAGTTAGACCCTAATCGCTACAACAATGACAGTTTAAGGTGAAGCACTCCTAAGTCTTTTTCCCTTTGATTTTTGACCTGGTTAAAATGAGGTTTCACCATCTCAGGACTTCAAGATGGAAAGACACACTTGACTTAGCATTAACTCAACTAGAAACTTTTGTTAAGGGTCTCATGTGAATAAAGGGGCTGCTTGGGCATGAGGTCACCCAGGGTACCCAGTGTTGCATTATAATGTCTGTTGTCCTGGTGACTTGTCAAACTGTATCTGATATTTTGCAGAGTGACCCAAAGACTTTGTTCTTCCTGCAGAAGTTTACAAGACTCTTTCCCTGATCAGAAATATCTCACTGGGCTCAAGGAATCCTCTGCCCCATTTTCTTTCTCTCTTCCACTGTATTCCCTGTTTGCCTTCTCCTTCACATTTCCCACCGGATTTAGACTTGCAGCTGTTGTTTCACGGTGTTTGTAAAATATGCCAGCATTATCTACTTATCTTCAAGCTGCGAGCATTGTTTTTTCTTTTTCTTACTTTGTTTTCCAGTGTACTTAACATTCAAGGCATTTGCAAAAAGGATACTCTGAAAAGCTGGATCTAATAGGAGTTATTTTTCCTCCTTTTTCTCAGGAGGGAGACACTCCAAAAAAGATACCCTCTGCCACCATCATTGTCAGCAACACTGCTATTGCTACTGCCACTGTCACTGCTACTTCCATTGTCACTGCCACTGTCACAGCTACCACCACTGCCACGGCCACCACAACAACCACTACCACTACCATTTCCACCATCACCTCTACCATAACTACTGGCCTCATGGATAGCAGCCACCTGGAGATGACGTCCTGGGCAGCACTGCCCCTTCTGTCCAGCAGCAGCACTAATGTCCGGAGACCCAAGCTCACTTTTGATGACTCGTATGTTATCCCAAGATTTTCACTGATGTAATGTGGGAATGGTGAATGGGGAAAGGTGGGTGCAGGCAGCATGTATCACCCCAGAGGAGACCTCAGCATTCTCTCCTGTATCCCTGGAAGTGTGCCCCTTGCCCCCTCTCTCACACAACTCTATACTTATCAAGAAATGTCATTGCATTATTTAAATAATACAACTTTGATACTGATTTCAAAGGCTTATTTGGAGTTAGTTTTGTTGTATCTATTTGGGTAACAATGACGATGGGCCCCTAATGGCCCATTATATACTTCAGCTTTCATTTGTGTTATTATTTCAAGGTTGGTTATGATATGAATGACAGTATTAGTCTACCTTTTCCAAGGCATTGTAGAAGAATGGACTTATTGCAAAAGAATAAATAACTAAATTGGACTATTGTAATGAAAAAGTGGACTAGTAGTTCCTGAGAGCTTGTTCCGTTTGTTTAGGGTTCACAACGCTGATTACTACATGCAAGAGGCGAAGAAGCTGAAGCACAAGGCTGATGCACTGGTAGGTTTCCTTCCCCTGAAGCATTGCTCCAAGGCATTATATACGGAAAGAAAACAGAGCAGGAAGTTTACAAATGAAGTAAAAAACCCCTACCTACTTTATGATGCATTGCTGCCCTGATACAGGGAAATTGGAATTTGTTGATTCTTTGGCACTTAAATTCCCAAAGTTCTTTGAGCTAGGAAGTTCTGTTACTTGTTCCTCACTATTCTTCCTCTTGTACCATGTCAGAAGCTCAATGATATTTACTACTGTCAATATTTTTTAACATGAATGTGAAATGTTTTGAAACCTCCCTAAAGATGATGAAACTCCTATTGACTCTGTAAATCAAAGCTGTTCTGAGGAAGGCAAAGATTGTTGAAACTTGGCCAAGAGACTTCAAAATTTGACTCTAGGAAACATGTCTGTAGAAATATTACATCTCCTTGCTGCATTTGATTATATGTTCTAAGAACGAGATCCATAGCAAGCCTGGGACCCTGAACAGAGCAAGCAAATGGTATCATCTGGATTTCCCAGGTGCCTGCAAGGGTGTTGGCCACCTGAAGCAGTGATGAGCTCAGTACATTGAGTTTTTTAAAGTAATTGACTCTCCTAACAGTTGATCTTAGGCACATGTTACAGTCACACCAAGAGTCTTAAAATGGTCTTGATTCCCAGGCCATATACAAGATTATTGAAATCAGAATTTCTGGGACTAAAGCCACAATAGGGTGCTCTCCAGGTGATTCCCAGATGCTGTCATTTGAGAGCAAGTGTCAAAGAGAACAAATCAGATTTCTTTCATGAAATTTCAAATCAAGATATCACTTTAATCCCACTGTTTGAAAAAAAAGGTAGTCTTACCTCATTGTATTTCATCCAGTCAGGACTTGGCTATACCAGGGTGTTTGAGAACCCTGTGATGGCATATCATGGTAGTTTCTGCACCATGCTTGGTAAATAACTAACATCAACTTCCCATGGCCCTTATACCTGCCACTTTCCTCCTTTCTGTTACCCAAACCTCCCAACCCAGAATGTCCCAGCGAATCTTTATGTAGTATTAGTTGTTTCTTAGAAGTATTTCACACACAAAATATCCCGCACTCAAAACTGACAAGGCAGATTGGCTGCCAGCTCCACTGGAGATGCTAGACAGGCAGAGTACGTGATCACTGTGTGGGTAGCGGCATACTTAAAGCCCACTGGAAGCAATGCTACTGAATCAGAGACAAGATTTCATCCATATGCCCTCAACTCCACAGAACCACAGAAATGCTCTGATTGTTGGCACTGTTCCAAAAATCAGGTCAGCAAGCACCTAGATGTCCCTTTGAGAACCCGTTTTATGAGGTAATGAAGATTCAGACACACATATGAGGGCATGTGGGCAAAATGTTTGAGGTACCTGTGGGTACATGTTTGATGCACTGAGAAAATTTAGAGCCACAGAGATGCTATCTATGAGTAAGATTTGACATCAGTCTACTTTCCACAATTGTGTTCATTTGTTAGCCCTAAGCGCTTTGGATCTATAGTAGCACTACAAGCACCCTTGTGATTCAGCCCCTCCTTTTATGAGTGGGGGAACAAGGCCCAGAGATAAGCTAGAAACTAGCTGTTAAGCGACAGTGTAGCCATGTAAATTTCTCTCTGGACTTCAGCGTCTCCTTTGGGAGAAGGGATAGGGTCTTCATAATAGTTAGTGAACATTCCCGCTCTGAAGTTAGGAATGAAAAGTCACTGTTAAAATCTAGGATGTAAAGATTAATTTCCCAATGGGAGACCCATTCAGAGCCCAATGACCTAAAGGAACTATCTCATAATGCAAAACAGAAAATTTTTCATTCATACATGCAGATTCCTGTCAAATCATTTTGGATTTTGTTGAAGTCAACATTTCTTCATAATATCTTGCAGAAAGAAAAGAAATGACAGAACTGCTTTGGTACAAAAAGCTGGAGAACATATTGTAATAAGAGTCATTAACAATAAGAGATTCTGCAAGACGTATAACTAGTAGTTTCATGATTGTACTGAATCAAGTGCTAGAATAGCTACTCTTCCATTTTGAGAGTCTTGGAATATTCATGGTTGCAAGAAAAATATTTTGATAGAAGGCATACAAGGGAATTAAGACAGATAAATCTATATTATAATGGTTCTTTTAACATAAAACAACACATTAGTGAAATTCTTACATTCAGCTATCAAAAATTGAAAATGTTAAATCTTCCTATAAAATACGCACTATAAAAGTGTCACATATGATATTCATTATACATAAAAAAGAAATTCAGTATGTCTAAGTCACTTTAATCATGACCATTATCAGGACTAAACTCTTTTGCAATTAACTTTACTCAACTAAAATATTTAGTAACGCTATATTTGTTTAGGGTTTTTGACACACTATTTCGAATCATCACTTACCATGAAAGTTATGTGATTATTGCCTACATAGTTCAGATTCACATTTTTCATGAAAATAGCATCAACTTACTGCTCTTTTCCCAGGGATGCATTGATATGCATGCAACAAATTCTAAAGCAAAGCTTATCTGGATCCCTTGCCTGTGAGGCTTACAAAAAAGCAGAACTTAGTTGCAAGCACCACCTCTATGACTAGTCCATTTAGTAAATTTAGTGAATAGAACCTAATTGAGACATTGCTTTGGGTTCTGGCCCATTGAAAAAACAATGATAATGAAATCACAAGCCACGTGAGAATTCAGCTGTCTTTGTGTTCTCAAGTAACCAGTTTATTGTTAATACAATTTAATTCATATATTGATTTCTCTGCATATTTGTTTCTGAGTCAGAGAACTGTTGGCATCTTGGGTTAGTAGTTCTTCACTGTGGGGGATCTTCTGTGCATTGCAGAATGCTTAGTAGCATCTTTGTCCCTCTCCTCAGTAGATGACCTAATTCCAATGCTTACCACCAAACTGGCCCAGACTTTTCCAGATGTCCCCTCAGAAAAAGGCAAAATTACCCCCAGGTGCAAAGCACTCGTTTATGTTAAGGGGAAATGGGGAGCATAGCATGTTGACAAGTCATCTTCCTGTTTCAGTTTGAGAAATTCGGCAAAGCTGTGAATTATGCTGACGCTGCCCTCTCCTTCACCGAATGTGGCAATGCCATGGAACGTGATCCTCTGGAGGCCAAGTCCCCATACACCATGTACTCTGAGACTGTGGAGCTCCTCAGGTGAATGACCCTTCAGAAATCATCTTCCTAAGCCCATTTCAGCCACAATTAGACATTGCTATGTTTTAAAATAATATCATTTCCACATATTAATGATTTGTCCAAGACATCTTCTTCTTAGAAGCCATCATTAGTTCTTGCCATTTTTATTAATGCTGTGGAAAATTTATAATTGATGGACATTGCTTTTCTAAATGATTCCCTTCAGAGGTTTTAATGGGAGCAGTATAATTTGCAATATTCATAAAATTAAAACGGAAATGTAGTGGGTAAAACCAAAGTATAATTTAAGCATTTGGTGTTAGCTTTCCTTTTCAAAAGTGCAAATTCATAACTCAAAAAAAAAAGTTTTTCTCTTAGGATTTCTATTAAAAGCCACGTTTTCTAAGAGTCCGTGTCTTGGTTATAAAAAAGGGAAAGGATGCTGCTCACATGCAGAGGCAGTATGGAAGACTGTATGGAAGTATGGTAGAGCAGACTGTCCATGCATCTGGAGTAAGGGAAGGACAGGTGGTAGGAATGGGGTGATGACAAACATGTGAGCATGAGAATAGTATATGGGCATGACATATAATAAGTGCATACATTGTTGGTTTGAATTTTAGATGATATTTTGTGGCCTGTTCTTTTCAGTAGAGTGGAATTAATGGGTTGCCCCAAAAAAATCCTATGGGTACAAGTATGTCTAGCTGTTACACTGCAGAGCAGAACACCTGCATTTGTATTAGAATGCATCAGTTTGAGTCTGGGTTCCTGATTCTAGTTTATTGTTGATGCACATCCGGTGAAGCAGTTGTGTACATGACATCCATGTGCAGGACCTGTAGTAAGTGCTCAACTCCTGATTTCAGCCAGATATTTAGAAAATAAAGCAACAGAAGTGAGCTAGCACTCTCTCTCTCTGCCCCCTTCCTGCCCTTCCTCTCTCCTTCCCCCATTCCCATTATTTTTCCTCTCAAGTAATTAAATAAATAAGTGATTTCTTTAATTGCAAAAACGAGCAAGAAGGGGAAAGAAGAAATGTGCACTCTGCTGTTTCCCAGTGCTCTGCAGCTATGTATGAAACAGTTCATCTTTTACTCGCGAAGAAGCAGCATCATTTGCTGGATAAAGTCAATAATCTCTTTTGAATGAATGAGCAGTTCTTTGCTTGATAGGCTTTTATGTCCCAGGCTCCTCTGGCTCAATTAATCAATAATGCCAAGGCATTTTTTTTCCAGACTTGCTCATATTGACATAAACCACTAGGGATCCAAATATATTGGTCCCTAAACTTCCAGATAAATATTGGACATATTTAGCATGCATTTTTCCCAATTTCATGTTTCACATTCCAAAATATCAAAATAAATGATTAAAAGAAAGCAAGACCTCTGATCACACAAAATCAGAAGCTTTGTCAGAATAACAAAAGCAGGGATTTTCTGAAGAAAGTTCCAGGTTTGCCTGCCCAGTGAGTCAAGGCATCTTTCTCCTAGTGCTGTTGTATGATAAAGGTATAAAAGAGTGTCAAGTGTTTCATAAATCCTCACCATTCTGGAACTGTCAAAGGGGCATTGATGTCTCAGTTTTCAGTCAAGGCTACCTTTGATTGTCAAAGATGCATAACATGAATGTTATGGCAAAAAATATGAGGATTCAAAATTGAGGGGAAATATTAATGAACAAACATGGAGATAACTCATGCTCTACATTCATTAAAAATGAAAAGATTTTATGATGACATTCTTGAATTAACAAGAAAATGTAGCTATATAATGCCTGTAGTTAGGCAAAGAAAAGTGAAAGGATACTGAACTTCCTCTAAGCTACTGAAGGAAGTGGAAATCGGTCATTGTGAACTGACAGTAACTTGGGCATCGTGTAGCAATTTATATCTTTTGATCTAGCATTTCAATTTAAGGGAATTTGAGTTTCTTCTACTAAATAAAATGATTATAAAAGAAGAACAGTTTATCTGTATGGTGTTTTTTTGCAATGTATATGATAGCACAAGCAAACCTAATCATCAGTAATGGGAGAGAAATTAATTGCATCATGGTCTACTTAATAGGATACAGCCCATGCACATGGAAATACAGCAAAGATAGAGAACATACAGTTGCACAAATATTTAGAATATGATGTTAAAGCAAAGCAAGCTGCAAAATTGTATGCACACCGCAGTTATGACCACGCATATCATGTGGATGAAACTAGTAGGGAAAGCTGTGATAAAACTGTTAGAATTTGGATGTTGTCCGTTTCTATAATCTTTATTATTCTCTTATAGGAAAACTCATTCTCTCTTAGAAACATTTCAAAAAGCAAAAATAAATTTTATTTTGTAGTGAAAATGCATAGTGTCATTAAATACTATTTGTTCCCATCAAAAGTCATTTATTTCCCCTTAATAGTTTATCATCAAAATGTTGTATTCTTCTAAGCATGACTTATCTTTCAATAAGTAATATTTTATTCCTCATGGAAGTATATTTCAGTGGTACCTAGTGAGAATCAATGCAGAAATTATTTACATTAAGTCAACATTCTAAAACTTTACTTTGAGGCTATTGGCCAGTCACGTGCAATAATAAGAGCTGTAACAGAGAAGTCCTGTTTCCCCCATAGTGACATGTGCAATGTTTCAAGAGGACATTGGCATCGACACAATATATTTAGTCCAGATTTTGTCAGTGTTTTTTTTTTTTCAGATTTTAACAGTTTCGTATACATGCATTTGTGTGGCTTCTCTATATTTTTGATGTTTTCTCTTACAATATATTTTAATGAGAGAAATTTCAGTTAGGAATAAAATGAGTTAAACCAACTAGAACTTCCAGTTCATTTAAATACAAACTCCACTTTCAAATCACTTCAAATGTGGATACAACTAGATGGTAACAGTGATATGGACATAGTTTTAGTAGTGCAGTATTGTGCTGACAAGATTTTTATTGCTTCCTCACAGTGTGTTGGCTACAGAGAGAGTCCACTTTTCTTCATTCACATCATTATAGTTGCTTTGAGCCTTGGGCAGTTGTAATAGAAATACACTTGTGAAAACAAGCGGCCATCACAAGGACTTGACGTTTCAGTCTCCAACTGCCAAAGTTAGATTTATTACAAAGTAAAAATCCCTTTGCTTAATACTGCATCAACAGAGGAACCAATATCAAGTATTCAACAGAACTGGGGTAGTGACTGAGAGGTGGGTTGACTGGAAGGCTCAGTCTTGGAGGCATGAACTTGGGCCCCTGGTGTTCCCAGTAGGTGACTGACAATGGAGCATCAAGTGTGGCAGCTCAGCAGTATACAGACCCTACATGTTCTTCTAACAAATGAGAACTCATCCGAGCTGCCTGAACACACATTTTAAGCATCCTTCTGCCACATTGAATTTTTTTTACATATACTCCCACAAGTACGTGTGAAATTGCATCAAAACTCAGGCAATGATTTTATGCAATGAATTGATTTTCACGATTCTAAATGTCCAAAATTAAATGAGCTTGGCTGAAAGTAGAAAAAAAAAAAAGAAAGAAAAAGAAAAGAACTACTCAACCTTTTATCACTGGCGTGGAAGAGTAGCAATTAAGAAAATTCCAAGACAAAATATATAAGAATCGTACATTGTCATAAATTGAGAGCATGGAAGCCTTAAAATGCTTTGAAACTGACCTTCCATTTAATTTTTAATTAAATATATTTTAATATTTTAATACTTTTTTACTGTGTGATTGAGGTTTCCCTAATTCTCAGATTAGGTATAGCTGTATAATATGTATGCCATCTGTCATAAACTGAGCTGTGGCTGATATTTTTGCCCACCTCTCATTTAATATCAATCATCATGAGCTAGAGTTTTGCTACAAACACTATTTTGCCAGCATTTGTGCTTAGACATAAACTCCCGATGATTCAATGTCATTGTCCTAGGACATGGGCTCAGGATTGAGCTGATGTGTCTGGAACTCAGGTTGGAATGTCATGTAAGTCCTACTCTGCTGTTTGATCATCATTTGGTAGATGTTTTGAGAAAAGCTTTAGTCCTCCTCCAAAGCAAATGTGGACCCAACTCATTAGTCCATTAGAACACCAATGACCAAGTAGATTTCTGGAAGGGGAATCCAGATCCCATTTGAGTTTTTACTTTCTCTTCAAAGGTATGCAATGAGGCTGAAGAACTTTGCAAGCCCTTTGGCTTCAGATGGAGATAAAAAACTGGCAGTGTTATGGTGAGTCACATGGATGCCACATCCTTAAATGTCCCAGAATGGGCCCAGCATGACAGCCTAGCAGTTAAAATCCTCACCTTGCACATGCTGGGATCCATGTAGGTGTCACTTCATGTCCTGGCTGTTCCACTTCCCAACCAGCTCCCTGCTTGTGGCCTGAGAAAGCAGCAAAAGATGGCCCAAAGCCTTGGGACCCTGCACCCAATGTGAGATATCCGAAAGAAGCTCCTGCTCCTGGCTATGGATCAGCTCAGCTTTGGCTGTTGCAGTCACTTGCAAAGTGAATCAGCGGATAAAAGATCTTTCTCTCTGTCTCTCCTTCTGTATATCTGCCTTTCCTATACACACACACACACACACACACACACATATATATATCAAAAATCAAGATCCACTTAAGCTACTTACCTCAGTTCATTATGTTTATTTTGTATTAAACCACTCAAAGATAACCAGAAACTGCCTCTGTCACTGACTCAACACTTACTCTTCTAATTTATACAATAGTCAACATGAGATTTTAATATTTTCCCCTTCCTGTTTTATTTTCTTTATTTACTTCTATGTCTCAATTTAACCATAGAAGAGTAAGTCCGAGATTGAATGAGCATCTTTAACAGTTTGTAGGTTTCATTAAGCACTGGCATTAATATAATCATTTTATTTGTCACCATAGCTATCGATGCTTATCACTTCTCTACTTGAGGATGTTTAAGCTGAAGAAGGACCATGCTATGAAGTACTCTAGATCCCTGATGGAATACTTTAAGGTAATCTTTATTTTGTATGATTTATAGTTACCTGGTGATAAAAGCACTAATGGGATATAGCAGGCATGAAAAAAGCTGTTGCTACCAAAGGCTTAACCTTTCTTATCCTACTGGGCCGGAGCTCCTCACCTAGCTTTCAGGGATCCAAACAGAGCTTAGTTCTGATTTTATTCGAAGGAGAAAAGACACATCAATACAAACCCTGATTATTTTTCTTAACTGACCAAATGATACCTGGAAACCTCCTGTTGCGGTCAGAGGGAATTTGCTTTGTACCGAACCCCCTGAGGCGGCACAGATTTTGGCTCCGGGTATGGTCAACCTCTCAATGAATGAGAGACCATCTCAGGAATCTCTCAACAGCGAGGCCAGTCACTGTGGCCACCTGGCTCTGGATGGACCTCCACAACCCTATGGCCGTGGATAGCATTGGAATGTGCAGTGCCTGCAATTTAAGGCAACCCATTTTGCTGGTTATCAAAAGAAACAAAAATAAATCCATCATCTAGGGAGCTGACATACTTAATTTCTAAAAAAAAAATTAAATGTACACCACCACATGCAATGCCAATGTATGAGACTGTGCCAAGATAAAAATGGCAAAGCAGTACCATGATCTTAGGCCTGACTGCCATACTCCACAATGCTGCTCCTATCATCCGGCAATGGCCACAAGTTAAAGTTGGGAAAGTCTCTAAAACACATTTTTTTTGGTCTGAGTATATGTGACCTATTGGCTAAATTGCATCAAAGATGTTTGAAACATCGAGGCATGACCTTATATCAAACATCCAGTGAGTTATAGTACACAATTGTGTGAGGACTTTGTGACTTAGTTGGGAAAACAAGAGCAAGCTCCCCAGTTATTCTGTGGTATGGCTATTGTGCCATGCAGCTGGTATTCATGCAGGTAAAAGGAGGCTACATTGCAACAGTGCCTCATCTATTATTTCTACTCTCTCAATCTATGTTCTGGAAAGGTGGTTCTTGAACTTTAAAGGGCATCAAAGTCTCCTGGAAACTTTGTGAGAATTTTGTTTATAGAGTGGTGAACTGCATCCAAACAACATCTAATTGTTTAAATCTGGGACAGAGTAACAAAATGTGCCATTTTAATGAGGGCCCACATGGTACTAAAGCTGCTGGTCCTGTGGACACTTCAGGATGTACTGTTACAGTATTTGTACTCTTTGGCCTGTCCTATAATGTATTTCAAAAACAACCAGGAAGATGCTCAATAACTCAACCATCTGGCAGTGTTTTCAGCTTCTTGGAGGTTAAAAACTGGAGCCTGCAGAATGCACCTTAGCTCTGCGTTTTTGCATCTTCAGAAAAGCCTTAATTTCCTACTAGAATCCTGGAAATGCTGTCTCCCGATCACCCCGCTTTACAAAAGGGGATGGGCCAGATGCCAAGAAACAAGTAAAAGCAGCATCATGACCATGACTGCTGAGACCAAGCACAGCTCCTGTGCCATAGGTGTCCTGGCCATCTGTGCTACCTGAGTTCCAGCCTGCCCAGGTCATTACATGGGCCTGATTCCTGCCCTATGCTGTGATACTTAATGTCAGGTTTCCCACTTCCCTACATTTAAAAGAGCAGAAGGTAAAGCAGGCCCATTCTTTCAGTCGGCCAGTTCCATCAAAGAAGCAAAAGAATGGGTTAGAGTCCCATGTCCCATTGCAGTGCAGCCAGCCCTGGACCAGTTGCAATGCAGGCCACAGGAAATATCAGCCAGGAGAGTTTTCAGGTAAAGGTAGCGTAGCAAGGTGGTTCCTGCAAACAGGAAAAAAGTTTGCAACTGGAGCTAAAGGTGAAAACCTTGCTTATACTCTGAAGAGCTTGTTTGGCAGAATAAATGTCAGATGAAGATAATTAAGCCACTTCTTGGAGATCTGCGTCTGATTTCACTGGGTCTTTTAGTATATAAGATCTTTCATCAAGTGACTTTCACGGTCCTGATTGGAGCCCACTAATTATCCTACACAGCTATTTTCATCGAGTGTGCGTTGTGGTGTGCTGACGTGCACATACATCCAAGCTCTGCATCCTGAAATGCTGCAATCAATATTAATGTACTCTAAATCACACTTCCATCTGCTTCCGAATTAATAAAACACAAAATAGATGTCCTTATTTCCCTCTCTCTTTCTCTCTGTTTTAGCAAAATGCTTCAAAAGTCGCTCAGATACCATCTCCGTGGGTAGGCAATGGAAAGTAAGTATCTTACGAAAGTTGCTTTTTCATGCAAGCAAGAGAACAGACCCTCAGATACATTGTATATACCAACTCTGAGACTACAGTTATTTTTGTGCACACACAAAATTCTAGCCAAGCTTCAGTTAACAGCAAAACAGAAAATTTTATCATGCTGTGGTTCCAAATCCTTTAGCTCTTTTATCTTATAGCCAAATTATGGCCATGAAAGTATCTTTAGTGAGATGGCAAGCCCTGTGTGATTTCGGGGAGTCATAGTAAAGTTAACTCCACTGTAGTGATTTTGTCAATGATTCACCTACTAATGAAAGTTCAATGAAATATTCATTGGTACAAGGTAAGTGCTATATAATAAAAGCAGTGGCAAAACAAAAACAAACCAGAGGCACACTGGTGCTGAAAGTGGGAAGACATTAGCCAGTTATGTGTGCCTTCGTGGCAATTTGTAGGTATAATACTGAAAGATCTTTACCTAAAGCATAAAAGCACTAACTGTAATGCTGTTGCAGGGCCCTGCATGTAGCTTTAGTTAGAGTTGCACCTCCCAACAGCAGTGCTAGGAGATCCAGAAATCACTGACCTTACCCTGAGGCTGTTCTCATCTCACTGGGTGAGCCAAGTGGGACCCTCCTGTCTCCAAGGCTCTCTGTCTTTACCTGTAAGTTGAAGGGGCTAACCCAAGGCCCTCTGAGGCACACTGAGGGAAGGTTCTTAGACTGACTTGGAATCCCAGTTCAATATTAACCACGAAGTGATCAAATTGGCAATGTAACTTTGATAGCTTACCTGAACATCACTGTCTTCTGATTCCAAAGTCTCCCTCACCTCCACATACTCACCTCCACCAGTAGTGGAAAGGGAATCTAGTTGAGTATGAATGAACAAGAATATTTTAAAATTCATGGAAATGATAGAATTAAACATAGGCTTATTTGGGTGTAATTTTTTTGGAAATTTATGTATAGTTTTTCATAATATATATTTGCCATAAAGTTTTTGAAGATCTATGCATATTTTTAAAAAGAGTTTATTTTATAATGTCTCTGATCAAGGCATTCTTTAAGAATAAAACAGTTCCCACTGCCGCTTTATAAATATCTATAAAGCATACTCCAAGTGTTTGAACAATGACCTCTACTTTGACATCATAAAAACATTAAGAGTAAAGGAGCAGATTCATCAAACAAAAAAAAGCACATTAACTCAATTACTGTATGGAAAGACTGAAAGGAAGCAGTGTTTAGATGGTTGAATTAGGCCTTACGCTTAGATGGCAAATAAAAAGGAAAGAATGATTTTCTCTGGAAGTCGAGAAATAAAAATAACCATTGAAAGGCCCAGAGAAAGCTGTTTTCTCTGAGCACAAAGTGAAGCAAGGGCAAGGTCAAGTAAGCAGATATTAAAGGATCACTGGGAGAAACATTAAAAAAATATGTATCTGAGGCAAAAAAACTCAAACACATCCTAGGCTTGTGAAGTCACATTAAAAGCCTCCTGAAATGATGTTTTGAGCAGCTGCTGTCTGAAGAAAGCACACTCCCTTTGGTAAGCCATCCAGCAGTTACACCCCATTCATTCAGCAAGCACCTTGGCAAACGCAACTCTGGCATTATAGGAGGGGTTGGGAGCACAGAGTTGAGTTACATGTGGACTCTGCAGTTCAAAAGCACACAGGCTTCCACCAAGAGGGGGTAATAGGTGTGAAAGAAGTGCTATGGAAACCCAGGAGAGATAATCTGGGTCTCCCTGTGTGGCCAGTGGGGGTGTCCTCCCTGCAAGCAGGACCAAGGCCTGCTTTCTGAGTAAAGGAAGCTGCAGCCCCAGCAAAGGGCCTCTTAATGGCACCTTTCTGGAGAGGCCACCTCTGAATTCAAAACCCAGCTAATCTGGCCAGTGATTGGGAAATCAGATGCTAAGAAGGCATCATGAGGGCTCTTGGGAAAAGTATTTAGGGAAGGGTGAGAATAGACCTTTAGGAACTTCCCACCGTGGGGGTGCCTGAAGAAAGTGGAAAGAAACAGTGTGGAGAAGGACAAAAAATGTCTTCACTATAGAGGAAACATTTGAGAAACGACCAGATTCTATGTATCTTGGACTTGACAGGTCAAGAACAAAATCAAGGCTGATGTATAGGAGAACAAGAAAGCAAACAGATTTTGACATTGTTAATGAGGAAATTCAATATATAATAACTAGCATAATAATTAGTAAAACTTTTAATAAAAGGTGAAAGATTTATACGATCTGAAGAGAAACCAGAGTATAATTAGTAAAACTTTTCAAATGCAAGTTTACTAATAAGGATGGAATTATCTTTTGAATAACATTTTGCTTCATTAGGGTTCAAAATAAATATATCCATTGGTTTGGTCTTCTGTTGTCATTTTACTGGGATGTTCTTCCCATTTGCCTTTGGTTTTGGTGGGTGCTATTCCTTTTCCCTGTCAAGATTACATCTTGAAGTATCATTTGTAGGGCAGGTTTGGAAGAGGCAAATTCTTTGAACTTTTCTTTACTGTGGAAGAATTTTATTTCATTTTCAAAGACAAAGGAAAGCTTTGCTGGATATGTTATCCTAGGCCGACAATTTTTTTCTTTGAGAATCTAGAATATGTTACTCCATTCTCTTCTTGCCTGTAGAGTTTCCTGTGAGAGATCTCCTGCGAGTTTAATTGGCATTCCTTTATATGTCAATTGATTTTTTTCATGTGCACATTTAAGGATCTCTTCCTTATGCTCAATTGAAGAGAGCTTGACAATCATGTGTCTTGGTGAAGATCGCTTTTAATCAAGCCTTTTGGGAGTTTTGTACCCTTCCTGGATCTTGTTTCCCAATTCTTTCTCCAGATTAGGGAAATTTTCCTTTATTATTTCATTAAATACATTTGCAAACTCAGCTTCTCTTTCTGCACCTTCTGGGACTCCCCAGTAAAATGACAACAGAAGACTAAACCAATGAACAACCCACTCCTAAAATGACAGGACCAAAGTACCACCCATGTATATTTAACTCTAAATGTAAATGGCTTAAGCTCAATCAAATGTCATAGATTAGTAGACTGGATTAAAAAACAAAACTCATCTGTTTATTGTCTGGAGGAGACACACTTCATCAAAAATCAGCGGAAACTATATCACATGGGTTTTGTTGTTTTCTGTTGCTTTCATCTCTTCAAAACACTTTCTTCTGAATAAATCATTCAGTGACTCGTAGATCATACAGTAGCATCATTTTCTTCAAGAAGGTTCTTGATTTTCATTTCTTCAGCTACACGTTACACATTTAATAGCATGTTATTTAACTGGGCGTTGTTAATTTCTTTTTTCTCCCTGATGTTGATTTTGTTTTGTGGCTGTTCATTTAAGGGGATGTATAGTAGCTGTATAATGGAGACTGTCATATCTAGTAAGATGTCATTTAACTTCATGGGATTGTAAATTTCTATTTTTCTTTCTACTGTTGACTTTGTACCATGACTTTTCATTTGAGTGGATATCCTGTAGCTGTGAAATGGAGACTAACATCCAGATGCGAGGATGCAGTGTGGTATGCATTTCTACTTCCAGATCAAAGATGGACTTACAATGAAACTGTTTACTATATCTTAACAGTAGGATTCTGGACTCTCTGCCATTGTCCATGCCCGCAATGATGGACATATGACTGAGTATGAAGAACTATATGTTAGTAATGATATAGAGGAAGTAGGTGGGGGGGGAGGGAACTCAGGAGGGGATAAGGGAATATGGAACTGTATTATAAAATGATGATAATAATAAAATGCAAAAAATAAATAAATAAAAAAGGAAAAATAAATAAATATATCCAAAGCTTAACCTCTGCATAATGATTCAACAAGTAGCAAGTAGGAAAAATCTCTATTCCTTGGGACTATAGAAAAGGACAACAACCAATAATCAAGTCCCAAAATGTAAACTTGGCTCATATACCAGCCCTATGATGATACCTAAAATTGAACATAAGCCACTGTAAAAATTAAATGGAAAATAAGATAGAGAAAGGGAAGGTAGGGTGGGAAGTATCATTATGTTCTTAAAATGGTATTTATTAAATATGTGATATTTGCTCCCTTTTTATAAATAAGAATTTTTAAAGAATAATAAGTCAATATTAGATCATCATAAAAATTGCTGTTCTTTCTCATGAAAATGGTGCAACTGTTCTTCTTTGTAAATTGCTTCTGATTTACAGGCTGTGGAAAACAGAATGGTGAGTCATCATTTCCAACCCCTGATGTAAACTTAATGGAAACCACGTTGTGGAGAGTTTAAAAGAGCTGTGCAAAAAATCTATGATGTTGTATAGAGGTGATCAAGCATGCTAGGAAGAGTACTGAATTTTTATACAAGGCTTTTTTGAGGCTTCCAGAGGAGCAGTTTCAATAATTAGGTGATTGCGGATGCCGTGTTGAAGGAGCCAGAATAAGGGATATCCCCACTTACTTGATACATTGACCAGTATAAGCAATTCAAGCAGTCTGCTCATTTTGGAAGGAATCAGCAGATCAATCAGAAAACTTCCCTCTAAGCTTACAGAGGATTGTGCCTGTGTGGACTTCTTTGTCTGAGTCTTGTGGGGGAAGGGGAAGCAAACCAGTGTGGATAGGAAAGTAAAAGTAGAGATTGATACCCTTGTCAGGTGAAATATTTTGACAACTGTACAGTAAACACTTCGAGGTAGAATGGAAGAAGAACCAATTTGGGCAAAAACTGACCTCAGTAAAACCCTAGCCCATCCAGTGAGTTTGTGTCTGCACCTGAGAAATGAGTTCAACTTCTGTGAGATCTTTTTGCCATCTGTTAAACAGTGGCAGAGGAATGGGAAGACTTCTTGCAGAGTCATGGGAAGACTTGTGAAAGATATTGGTGAATCCCTGAGCACTCTCTTCGCCACAGTGAATTGTTCAACAAAGGGTGACTCCTGATACTGCACTGATTATTGACACTGTCACCTTTTTAAATTTCAAATTATAAAACAT